ATCAGTCTGTAATGTTAGACTCACCTGAACTAGTTGCAGATCAATTATAGTGCTGGTCCTTAGGTCCATAAGTGAGTAACTTCCAAACTTGGCTGAATGACCTTAACATAGAAAATTAATGTTTACTTTGTATTGCATTCGGTATTAATTATTAGTATTCTGTATGTTTTGTTTCACAGTAATATGTAAACTGAGACGGTTGTTCAGAATTTAGTACCTGGCGAATCTGCCCTCATGTCTCCACCCAGGACAATGTTCTGCTGCTGTCTGAGCTTCTGCAACATGCCATCCTGTGCTGTCTTCCAGCTATGTACAATTGCAGGCTGTATGTACCTTCGGGCATGAATTCGAAAGGTGGTGTAGTGGATCATTTTCAGTTTCATTGCCTGGAATATCTAAGGTCAGAGAAGAGGATTCCTTCATTTAGTATTACTTATTTTTGTTCAGGGTTGATCTTTGTGATATTACTTGCAATAGTAAATAATATGGCTAGACAGTAAAATCCTCACCAACCTACCTTTTTAACTTTGAAGAAAGAGGCACCATTGGCATACACTGCAACGGAAAGCTGAAGGTTCCCTGCAGGAGTGCTTTGTATAATTGGCTGACTATTCCATTTTCTGAAGAAGTCACAATTTGGGCAGCGTTGTTCCACGGAGAGGAATGTGCCAAATACTTTTCTCTGTACATTGGTAATACGTTGACACACAGGGCACTGCTCAAAAAGCTGCAGCAGGCAGTTTTCATAAACAATGTAAGTCGCTGTCTTGTGGACCGGCTTTGAAGACTCAAATCTATAAGAATAATAAAGAGATACTTAAACATAAAAAGTTCAAATACAATCGAACTGACTGCAATATTTTACAAAACAATTGTCTTGTCACTTACATGACATCTGTTGGCTCACTCAAGTTTGTGACGGAGTCATCTGGATCATATGTGGAATCCAAAGGCTCTTCCACATTCATGCTTGAGCTGGTTCCAGAAGGGCCCTCCTCTTCCTCCTCTAGCTCCAAGCGAGATCTCTTATTTGGCCTCTTTAGTGGTGGTGTTGTTAATAATGATGATGATGATAACAGTGGTACTGACTGGCCAACACCAGTATCTGGGTATAACATAGTTGTCTGTGTGCCTGTTGCATATTAGTTGACATTTTAATACAGTGAAGTAATACAAAATGAAAAATCAATAAATACTGGTATTACTGATAATACCAAAAAACTTCACACTATATAAGATCTGGAGCAGCAAACCTGTGCTTTTGTATTGCCGACTTTCCATTGAGAGCTGGGTGCCAACTGTGCACATTTTCTTTTGGCTGGCCACATGTTGCGCCATGTCCAATTCTTTAGATGTGCTTGCCTATATAAAAACAAATATGCTAAGTGATCACATAACATGACTTATTCCGGCATAATATTGAAAATCATCAGAATATTTACAGTCTTATGCATTTGCAGTCATACACTCACTTTCTCTGGAGGTGCAGCAGGAACACGAATTGTTGGTACCGATTGTTTTTTCAGGAGCAGCTTCTTAGCAAAACCAGCTTTATACTGACCCTCGTTTATAAAGCAGTCTGGTGAGAAATGATTCGCGCAAACATGATAGTATTGACGTTGACGAGAGGGAATATTCCCTTTGAAAACAAAACTTAGCCATTGCGTCTTCAGCGGTTCGGATTTAGGAACATCAAAATGACTGATGTGTTCGTTATTACACCCAAGAACAGAACACCACAATCGCTTAGACGCCATTCTGCTCTAGTGTATCAACAATGGCGGACTATGATGATAGCTCGCTCAGGGCGAGTCTGTTTTGAAACACTGCTGTCAATCAACAATCGTGGGAGGGGCGCCCGACCGTGTGGCGTCAAACGGTCGGTCAGACGGCTAGGTTTGAGACAAGGGGTCGGGGAAGTGTCTATTATTGCTAAAGCAATATTATATGTTGATCAAATATCAGTACATATCAGATTTGTGCTGATATTCGAATAGCTCTGTTGACAAGCTCAACCTCGGTTGAGATGCTTCCTCAGTGGAATGATCTATGGCAAGCCATATTAGCTTTAGCGTTTGAGCTATGGCATGCCAAATTAGCTTTTAATGTTCTCAGAGTTACTTGTCATAATTGCATTTTTACCTACTAGTAACAATTGAATTGAAGAGCTCTTTAGTTAAATTCTTACCAGTAACAATTACAATTAGAGAGATCTTAAATCAATTCTTATTAAAAATGACAGAGAGCTCTCTAAATTAAGTTTTACAGAGCTCTGTAATTAAAAAAAAAAAAATTAATGACTGCATCATTGAATGTCAGATATCAGTTGCTCTCTCTCTCTCTCTCTCTCTCTCTCTCTCTCTCTCTCTCTCTCTCTCTCTCTCTCTCTCTCTCTCTCTCTCTCTCTCTCTCTCTCTCTCTCTCTCTCTCTCTCTCTCTCTCTCTCTCTCTCTCTCTCTCTCTCTTGTATTAACAATGTATTAAAGTTATATCCAGATTGTATGTGAGTCTAAAGTGAAACTTTAAAGTGAGTCTTTGTAATAGGCTACTGATAGTGAAACTGATCAAATATTATGATCCATATAATCTAAAATCTGTGAAAGCTTACTTCTTTGAAAGCTAAGCGATTAAGTGAACATAACTCTAAGAGCTGTACAATATGAATGAACTAGATTATCATACAATGTCAGATTTAAAGAGATTTTTCAAAGATTAATTATATGATTTCTCCTGTTGTCAACGTTGTGGTGTTCGCTTTCGTTCACTAAATGCAATGCACTACACAACAGGACCACTAGATGTCCCCCTGCACCGTAGATCTCATATAGGTGAACATGATTTCAAAGAGTACAACATGTTCCTCAAACATCTTTGTTGATTTTCTGGAACAACATTCCAATCAACCAATCAGATTTGAGGGACAAATTTTATAGTCTATGTCAAGTTTAGGCTTACAAACCAGGGTTAGGTGCTTCTGCATCAGTGTTATTCAGGGCCTATCATTTTCAATTTTGGGGATAATGTATGGGTATTGGGCGATAGGGTTAGGATTTTTGGACTGGAATTTTGTTTTTAGGATCCATGAACATTACTTCTTACTTGCCAAAATCACAGTGACTATTCTCCATACAGAGAGCATGCATATATACTTCCACTCAGTAATAACATGAAGTGTAGGCTACCAGGTTGCTTTTTATTGAACACATCACTGCAATTTGAGTTTAAAAATGTAAATGAAACCTTGTAGTGTTTAGAGTGTGTAGCCACAGTTAGGACCACAGATAAGACCACAGGGTTCAATGAATGGGAGAGTGATCAATTTACAGTGATCAATACTCTTGCGTATAAAACATAGTCTCTCACTAAAACAGTATGCCACAATCCCCCTTTTTTTTGTGGGATAGTTTTTCAATGGTTAAAATTTGTCCATTGAAAAAATAGTTTAAAAGGTCATTTACAATAGAACCTGTCTATTTGATCAGATTTTATCTGATTTTATCATATTTTATCTATTTTATCAGTGTCAGACTCTTCCTGCAGCAACACTTTCATGTTCACCTGATGCCTTTTGACATCATTGTGACGAATCAGCCACAACAACTTAATTATGGCTTACATATAATCCACTGATGAATATTAGGTTTTGGTACTATTTAAAACGTATAGACATCAAGCAAAAAAATAAAGCATATTATTTAAATTAAGAATATGGCTGAGATCAAACTTTTACAAAACTGAACTGTAACCAAACACCATATTCAACTGTTGCATTTACGTACTAGCCAAATTGTTTAGTTGAATTTAATTGTAAAAGACAAGAAGATGGTGGGATGATGCAAGTGCTGAAAAAAGAGAGGGGTCTAGATGATGCTATAATTGAGTACAGTGCTGTTTGGCTCAATATGAATCACTGTGAGAGCCCAGCAGAGCCATAGACAGATGGGAAAACACAAGGAGTGGTGAGTCTTGCTCTGTAGGATGGATTAAAAAAAAAGAAAAAACAACCAGTCAATACTGTGTGTGTGAGTGTGTGTGTGGGTGTGTGTGTGTGCATGTGTAAATCAACCCTGCCTCCAAAGACAGTCTGAGATATACTGTTATGCTATTGCTGAGTCCATTCTCCAGGCAGCAGTAAATTGTCTTTGGCTCAGAGTATTGAAGCACAGAGACCTTCAGCGCAAAACCAGTCATTACCTACAATCACACACTTGCTGTGAATATAGCCACTAAATGACTGCTGCATGACGCAGTCAACAGTATTGTCTTTTATCAGAAAGACTGAAAGAATTATTTGTGTATTTGGACTATTTTACTCATTAAAAATATCAAGAGAGCAAGAACTTATTAATTATAGAACTAGTGCAGTGGCTTAAACTGACAACAATTCCGTACTGATATATAATTAATATTTAATCTCGATTTTTACCGGGGAGATAAAGAAGAATGTTTTTGATAATTTTGTCCTGAGAGCGAAAGAGAATGACTGCACAGAATAAAGTCACGAGGTTTGGAACAACATGAGTAAATGATAACGGAAGGTTTATTTTGAGGTGAACAGTACATTCATAATACAGGCCTGTGTGATCATTTGGTCAGCAGCTCAGTTTGGCACATTGCTCTCAGGGGACACATACTGAGGGTTATTTTTAGTCTGGGAATAAAATTCACTTTGACAATTCAGAAACAACTGCACTAAATCTGACACAAAGATCTTTTTTTTCTCTTGATTGAGCCCTTTTATTATTGATACAATTATTAATAAATTGGTCCATGCATCCATCTATCCATCTATCTATCTATCTATCTATCTATCTATCTATCTATCTATCTATCTATCTATCTATCTATCTATCTATCTATCTATCTATCTATCTATCTATCTATCTATCTATCTATCTATCTATCTATCTATCTATCTATCTATCTATCTATCTATCTATCTATCTATCTATCTATCTATCTATCGAGTAGCCATACCTACCTACCTAATATAGATGTGTTTGTGGGAGGAGGAGGAAATAAAGAGAGCCAGTAGAAATGAAAAGGAGAGAGAGGTCATCATTTGGTGCAGGCTGTGGTGTAGATGGGGACACGCATGAGCTGAGTCCTCCACACCGGCAAACTCTCCTCCTCACGGAAGAACAGCGGACTCACTGTAACCGCCTCACGTACAGCCTAATATCGCAGTTTCCGCGTGTCGCTGATGTTCATGGTTATTAATAGGCTGCATTGGTCTTCCGTCGGTTTCTTTGGACCATTCAGATCAACGGATCAGATGCGAGTGCGCAGTGTTTGAGGTGACAGTAGCCTACTAAGAACGCTCAAGATTCATTTCATAAGACTCGATTTGAAAGCGGACCGGAACCGGAGGCGAAATTAATGGAGCCGTGCACGTCTTGTTGAGGATCCATCTGCACTCGTCCTCAATGGTCACCTTCTGTCCGAGCCTGTCTTTCTGCTTGCTGCAGTCCGCATCAGAGGATGTACGCTGAGGGAAGCACGCCAGACACTGAGCCAGACGCGTGCCAGAAGAAGACATCATGCTTCTCCAACATCAAAATATTCCTCATATCAGAATGTGCCTTAATGTTGGCACAGGGCACTGTAGGAGCCTATCTGGTAAGTCGAGCCGATAACACAGGCAGCTCATACTGTACGTATGTGGATGACATTGAATGGTGTCCGGTACGCATCGCTTACCTTTACCCTAAAGCAAGATAAATAAACCACATCATGAGGTATAGCTGGGGCTTTGCGTGCGGTACTGCGACTGCTTTATTTCTACATGATTTAGAGGCGCTATAATGGAAGATGATCATCAGTCGAGTGGCCCATGGCCGATTAGCTTATTTTGTCTTTGAGCCATGGATGCACTTATGGTTGGAAACATTTTTTTTTTTTTTTTTTGAATGATCAGACCTTCTATGGAAAGATGTTTATTCCTTAAAAAATATATATATATATTTTAGTAGGCTAATACTATTTTTATGTTATCCTAGTTCTAAAAGTTAAATCTAGCAGTGACTAGTATTTTTTTAAAATCAATTTCACTTTTAACTTTTAAATAAATGCTATTAATTTGATGCTAGTATAATGCTATTCCAGTATTTACTATAGTAGGCCCTATCTGTTTACTAGTAGCCTATCATTTTTGAGATAGTATAATTCATTACGACTGTTTTGGAGCAGAAAAAATGAACTATTCCGTATTTACTCATAATATTATATATATATATATATATATATATATATATATATATATATATATATATATATATATATATATATAAAATGAATTCATAATTTTAAAACAAAATACATAAAAACAAGTTTAATAATATTGTCATTTTAATTTTATATTTTGTTTTTAGGGTGACTCTGTAACATTAACTCTAAGGATGATGAAACACTTCTTGCTAACTCTGGCCCATTTACAGTAGTGTTTAGGAATGTGCACTAATTCCTGTTTAGTAAATTAATAAAATAAAAATAATAATAAAGGGTTGCTATTAAATTCTATGGGTATTTCTATGGATTCCATCTATTTACTAGATTTATTTCAGTTGTTGCTGGTACTTATTTCCGTAGCTAGTAAGTAGATACTTGTAGTTTCTTATAACTATTAAAATAGCTACTGGTAATCCAGTTTTCCTAGTACGTATATTGTTATTACATGTATTTTTAACTGAACTAAAGTAGTGATTCTGACTAATCTTTACATATGACCAAAAAAAATGTATTTTGGATTTGGAAACTCACAAGATGACAAATGTTATAACAAGCAAAATAAGTACTACTGTCTCAGAAAAAAAGGGTGGCAAATTTCAGGTGCCCATAGAAATAAGTGACAAAAATGTGCAATTCGTTGCCAGTAACAATAGTGAGTGGGGATTGAGGAGAATGTTCAAGTATCTAAAAAGTACTGGTGACTAATGGGATTAAAATTACTTACAACTAATTAGAAAAACGAGTAGTACTGGTAACATAAATATAGACAATGTTCAGTTTAAAGAAATAAATGTTATAAGCTTTCAGCAAAAGAGAAAGATTCACTCACTCCCATCACTTCATGAATGCATCTCCTCTTAAGTAAAGTTATATGATTGATATATTATTTTTCCTAGGATGATGACTTTTGTATATATGTAAGTGCAAATATGCCCTACCTTTTGCTTTATCTAAGGTATTTAACATGTTATGTATGTTATGTTGTGACCTAAATGGCACATGTATAAATCGCTTAAATAATTACATAGTTATTTTCAACTCTCCGAACATTTGATTTATACCTTCAATATTGCGTAAATGAGTTCTTCATGCCAGTATACACAGCATCCATGTTCTCAACAAAATCTCATCAATCTATTCTATTGCTTAAGATCTCCAAGCCACGAAAGCGTAAACAACATATGGGTTTGTATATGGCACGTGGTCATTGCTCGTTATCTCACAGCTTTGTAACTGTATATTTTTTCTTTATATTGTAGGTCAGTGTCCTCACCACACTAGAGCGACGTTTCAACTTGCAGAGCGCTGACGTGGGTGTGATCGCCAGCAGCTTTGAGATTGGCAACCTTGCCCTCATCTTATTCGTCAGCTACTTTGGGGCCAGGGCCCATCGGCCTCGGCTGATTGGTTGCGGGGGCATTGTGATGGCGCTGGGCGCGTTACTGTCAGCACTGCCTGAGTTCTTGACCCACCAGTATGAATATCAGTCTGGAGAGCCACGACCTGTGGGACAGGGAAAAGACGTGTGCTCCAATAGCAGTCGAGCTGGGCTCTCTGATCCAAATTATTTCTGTGGAAATAGAACGAACACCAACATGATGTACCTGCTGCTGATCGGAGCTCAAATGCTTCTGGGGGTTGGAGCGACACCCCTGCAGCCGCTGGGCGTGTCTTACATCGATGATCATGTCAGGCGTGAAGACTCCTCCCTTTATATTGGTGAGAGTGATCTACGCAACCATTATTGTGTTATGTACCCCCTCCAGCCCCATCAGTAAGGCTTAAAGGGATACTCCACTTTTTTTGGAAATAGGCTCATTTTACAACTCCCCCAGAGTTAAACTGTTGAGTTTTATCTTCTTTGAATCATTGAAGTGCACAAGACCTTTAGCATTTCTCCCAAAAAAATTACCAAAGAGTTTCGATATTTTTCCTATTTAAAACTGGACTCTTCTATAGTTACATCGAGCACTAAGACAAACGGAAAATGTAAAGTTGCGATTTTCTAGGCTGATATGCAGGGAACTATACTCTCATTCCTGCGTAATAATCAAGACACTTCACGGTCGTACCATGAGTGCAGCAGGCATAATGACTACACAAACTTAGTCCCGGTCACGTTGGAAACTGGGCACTATTTTCAGGCGCTGCGTCATAACATTACGCCTGCTGCACTCATGGTACGACAGTGAAGTTTCCTGATGATAAGTTTCCTGATTATTACGCAGGAATGAGAGTAGAGTTCCTAGCCATATCAGCCTAGAAAATCGCAACTTTACATTTTCCGTCTGTCTTAGTGCTCGATGTAACTATAGAAGAGTCAAGTTTTAAATAGGAAAAATATCGAAACACTTTGGTCATTTTTTTGGGAGAAATGCTAATGGTCTAGTCCACTTTAAAGGGTTAGTTCACCCAAAAATGAAAATTAAGTCATTAATTACTCACCCCCATGCTGTACCAACCCTGTAAGACCTTCGTTCGTCTTCGGAACACAAATGAAGATATTTTTGATTAAATTTGAGAGCTGTATAACTACCACATTGGCTCCTAAGGGACTGCCTCTTGACGGCCCAAAAAGTCAATGAAGAAAATGTTTAAATATCCCAAGTGACTACCGTGGCTCAACTATATGTTTACCAAGCGACGCGAATACTTTTTGTGCGAAAAAACAAACAAAAATAACGAGTTTATTCGACTATTTTTTTCTTCCTTGTAGGCCAGAACGAGACTTCCTTATAGATTTCCACGACGCATGCGCGAGATTTGCGATCTGCGTACACAGCTTACACTACTTCAGATCGCAGTTCTCGCGCATGCGTCGTGGAAATCTATAAGGAAGTCTCGTTCTGGCCTACAAGGAAGAAAAAAATAGTCGAATAAACTCGTTATTTTTGTTTGTTTTTTCGCACAAAAAGTATTCGCGTCGCTTGATAAACATATAGTTGAGCCACGGTAGTCACTTGGGATATTTAAACATTTTCTTCATTGACTTTTTGGGCCGTCAAGAGGCAGTCCCTTAGGCAGCCAATGTGGTAGTTATACAGCTCTCAAATTTAATCAAAAATATCTTCATTTGTGTTCCGAAGACGAACGGAGGTCTTACGGGGTTGGTACAGCATGGGGGTGAGTAATTAATGACTTAATTTTCATTTTTGGGTGAACTAACCCTTTAATGATGTTTGCTAAGCTATGCTAAAAGTGGTACCGCCAGAACCGGAGATCGGCTGAATGGATTCGAAAAAGGTAAAACTCAACAGTTTAACTCTGGGGGAGTTGTAAAATGAGCCTATTTCTAAAAAAAAAGTGGAGTATCCCTTTAAAAGCCCCTTAATCAGAGATATTGTGGGTGACAAACAGTAGTACATATTTATATTCATATACAAACATATTAAACATGCACACATTATACATACACATTATATTGTTCTCTTTCCTTAATTATGAAACAGAATAGTAGTAGACATTTTTAGTGTAGTGGAGGGTACCTGGTGACCAAAGGTTCCTAGATTTTATTGACAGATTCTGATGGTACTTTATTAAATCTATTGTTAAAAAACATTGATTAAAATAATCAAATGATTAATAATTATTATTGTAAATAAATTATTATTATTATTATTTTAACTTTTTATTCAGTTTAGGATTTAAAAAGTAAAATTAACAAAGTAAAAAAAAAATAGGCTAAGTATTATTATAATTGGTTCATTTTTGGCTAATGGGTAATACTTTGAAATAAGATGCATTAACAAACATTAGATAACAATGAGCAATACATTTGTCACTGTATTTAGTATTCATCTTTGCTAGATAGTTAATAAAAATACAGCTGTTCATTGTTAGATACAATGTTTGATTTTAATAATGTATTAGTAAATGATGAAATTTAACAAATGGAACCTTATTGTAAATTTTTTATCAATAAATGTAAAAGTATTGTTCATTGTTGGTTCATAATAACTAACATAGAACATTAGGTAACACTTTAGTTTAGGGTCCAATTCTCACTAATTACAAGTTTCTTACCAGCATTATTACTATGCAATTGGCTGTTTACATATTATAATGGCCATATTCTACATCCCTTAATACCCAATACTTAAACTTAACACCTACCTTACTAAGTATTAATAAGCAGTAATTAGGAGTTTATTGAGGCAAAAGTCGTTGTTAATAGTTAGTTAATAGTGATAGCTTTTAAACTAAAGTATGACCGGACATTATTGTGACATGATACAAATTTATTTGCCATTATCTATTCTAAATCACTCCAGGAGAGAACAGCATTTGGTTTAAATGCTCTCCTTTACCTACTATTTAAAATAAAATCAAAAATATTTTACTGTATTGTAGAATGTGGCTAAAGATAAATATTGTATTTTAAATGTCCTCAATGACACCATGAGTGCTGTTTTTATTTTAGGGCATATCATGTAGCACTACGGTCAATATCCTGCGTTGAAACAATAACAGCACTTATTATTATTAATGATTTATAAGCCACAAAATGTTGTATGCTCAGCGCATCAGCTTTTTACTGCTTCCTGGAGGACTCCCTAGCAGAAAGCTTTTGTATGAACGTACACAAACGCATAGTTATTGTATGTGGCTGGTTTAGGTTTGGGGTGAACTCACTTGGGAAATTTCCAAGAATTGAGCTTTAACCCATTGGTTTAGAGTAGTGCACCACTGTCTTACAGTAATCTCCTGTTGCTATGTTTTCAGGGTGTAAACAATAAGCAACGATGGCCTTCAGTGCCTGTTATTTCTGTGGAGAAGCTAATGTGTGCTGGCTGCTCTGTCATCCCTCAGGCAGCTCACTCTTTCTCACTATTCTTCTCTCTCTCTCTCTATTCTTCACACTCTCATTCTCTCGCACTACAACAATGATTCTCCATATATAAAGACTAGATCATCAACCCTAGACTTAAATGTCTTAAGAAAGCTCCTGAAATATAATCCTTGCATGGAAATTGACAATTGTAATTGAGTTGCTTTGCACAGGTAATTCAAGGTCTGGGTGTGAAGATTCTGTGTGAATGTTTGTGGGTTTGTGTGTGTGCGTTTCACATCATTTCTGCCGTCTCCTTCTCTGCAGGGTGTTTGACGTCTTTGCATTGAGCTGAATTGACTGTCTATGAGCATTAATGTCTGTGCAACCCAAGCAAGCTTCTTTCTCTCTCACTCTTGCGTGTTTTAATCCTTTGTAACCTTTAAAACTGGACCCGTCTCTTATTGAAGCATAGTGTGTAAACTAGCACAGACATAAACATCCTCTTTGGAGACAGTCATTGCTGGTGGGCATAATGGAATCAGTCATTTAGCTGTTTGATCACAGAGGCTTTGGTTATAAGAAATGTATTTGGCATCTTTCACAAAGGCCCAACCAGAAAGGCCTATCTGTTTAAAGTGAATTATCCAGCGTTTGTATTCATACAGAATCCTAGAGTGAGAGAACTTATCTAGGATTACATAGTGGTAACATTAGGACTGACATGCTTAATCAATTTCATCCAGACTAATGGATAGAACTAAAACACTTTTTAAAGATCCAGAGCAAATACAACGTTGAAGGTCATGTTACAGATCATTTTGCCCCTTCACAGCAATGAGATGAGGTTCATTCTTCACCAAGGACGATAACTATTATAACTATAAAGTTTTAAAAATCATTCTAATTCTATGTGAATAGGGAAGTCCACGCCACAACTATAACAATAATGTCACAGAGGAAAGCTAATGGAATCACTCTCAGATCAGAAAGATATCGTTGGGATCACTTTTGTTTTCCAGTTGATGATGCTGAAAACATAGACAGCCAATTAGAATCCACCAGACTTTAAAGAGCTCAAGCATTTAACGCGGTAGACAACATAGCCATAGTGTCCATGTAGAGTTTAGTCATCACAGAAATAAATTACATTTAAAAAGAATAATACGTATATAAAATAGATATTTTACTGTTTTTTGATCAAATAAATCCAGCCTCGGTGGATAAAAGAGACTTATTTCAAAAAACATTTAAAAATCTTGCCAAACCCAAACTTTGGAATGGCAGTGTATTTATTTGTATTATTTTTATTTATTTATATATTTTTATATATTTATTTCATGTATAGCCGTATAATGCACATGTTAATGTCAGTCATTACAGCAAAATAAACCCTTTCAGGATGATACAAAATCACCCTTTCAGCTGCGTCTGACTGTACATTATCTGTTACATGTTCATTTATAGTGTTCTCTGATCATGCTTATGCTGTGACTGGACAGATAATTACTTGTTGATTGGTAAAACAGCTGATAGTACAAGGTTTACCAACACATGCATAATCTATATGTTGGCTAACCCCCTGTTATTATTCCTACAAGATATAATAATCAACACAGAAATGTTTGCTCACCGAATGCTCATCAGCTTTATCATAAACTCATCAGGTGCCGGTTATAGCAATGATTATGTAGATCATGCAAATTAGCTATTGGATAACTTTTTTTTTTAATATATACACAATCATTAAAGGAAATAGCTTCTTTACTTTGGGCTACTTGTTGTTGTGTCTCAGAGGGGAATACAGTTGCAATCAAAATTATTCAACCCCCCGGAGACTGAAATAATTTACAAATGTAAGCTTTTCTAATGATTCAGAGTTTTTTTTTTTTTTTAAATGCATCTATAACAGTTTAGTGGCAAAAATTTAGCGATAATCTCAATATTTAAT